GTGAGTTAAGTCCGGACACTCTAAACCTTTCTTGTGTGAATGGTAAGAGATGAAATTAGTGCTTTGTTTCCTGTGCGGGAGGGAATTAGGCCTTTAATTTCTGTGTGTGAGAAACAATTGGTGTAATAATTCAGTAGTCACAGTAACAATTCATACAGGGAAAAGTTAAAAATAAATTACTATTAGAAATGATTTAATACTTAACAGAACAAATTTTGGTAGCTTTAAAATTGGAAATGAGTGATGAAAAGGACTACTAGAATTAACTATAATTTCCTCAAAAAAAAAAGAAAAAAAAAAGAAAGTGATAGTCAATGATTTAAAATTTTTATTAGTGTACAATAAAGGAAATTAATGTACAATTACTACATTTGCTTGGTAATATAATATTTTCATGTTTGGCTCAGGTTATATAAGATAACCAAGGTTATATTTGCTGGGTAATATAAGATTCTCATGTTTGGTTCATATTATGTAACATTTTCAGAGAATGTTAGCTAACTTCCGCATTAAGTTTTTAGCTATTGGAAGGGAATGTGAGATACCCTTCAATTTCTTAGGTAGTCTCACGTTCTTTTGTCTTATTACTAATGTTGAGCTTTGGACGTTTTAATCAATTTATCTCATTATTGTTGTCTTATTTACATATCTTAGTTTTAAACCAAACACAGTAATCTAACATTTCCAGCAAAGTGATAGGTTCGAGCCTCAATTGTAATTAAAAAAAAAAAAAAAAACATTCCCTAAGGTAATATAACATTTCGTGAACCAACGCCCAGAAAATTAATTAATATGTTTAGTATTATTTTTTTGAAAACATAATAATTAAATTTTCTAGAATGTTATTTAAGCCCGTGCGGGTTGGATATTGCATACTTGCATGTATATAATCTTGTTTTTTAAAATAATATTCATTAAGAGCATTAGGAGGCTTACCGTTGTTTCTGGCCATGTTTTTATTTTTATATTTAAAAATTCTTCAAATGCAGAATGAACAAAATTCTAAGATGGCATTTTCATAACTACGACTCTTTAATTTTGTTATACCACAATTAGTTCATTGCAATTATTTTAGAACTTTATTTTTTTAGTTTTTATTTTTTTTATTGCAAATAAATTTTAGTCATTACAAACTTTCTATAACTTAATGGAATTTAGCATGAAAAATTAAACAAATTTTGTTTGTTTGTTTGTTTTGTTTTTTTTTTTTTTTTTTTGGAAAAACAAAGTTCTAATTTCTTTTATGATAACATGTATAATATATAATTTTATAAATCCTATAGCAAACAGACTAATTTGCCCACAGGTTTTCTTTTTTCATTTTCCACTTTCTTCTCCTTCACATTCTAGAAATTTCAGTCCCACACACAACACTAAATTCAGACATCCCATACCACATCTCCTGTTTTCTTCCTTTCAATTCTGTTGCAACGTTGTCACCTCTCTGTGTACCTAACTAAGATCGCGAAGATCCTTCGTCATAAGCAATTTTTTAGAAAATCAGTTTGTACAGCGAAATGGAGGGGTGGCCGAACAGATCTTCCACCGTCAAGTCAGCTTCAAGATCCATGCTCAAATATAGAGATAAGTTGTTGCCTTCAGCTAGCTTCAAGATAATTATTAAATTTCCTAGATTTAATAAGATTTAGGGTTGTAGAAGATAGTTGGTACTTAGATTCTAGATATAGGGTTTTTAAAATTGTTTTATAAATACTTGATACTACTGTTATAGACTTATTGTATTGCATGCTGATTTGTAGCTCAAAAGAATCCTAATTCAGTTTGAATATTTTTTTCGCACATGCAAATGGGTACTGTAATTTCAATCGATATATTCTTCTATTTATGTAATAGAGTTTCTGATGTAGTCTTTCTGGTGTATTTTTGCGCGAGGATTTTTGAAAACTATGTGATAGAATACCCCGTGGTGAGCACAAATAATGACTGCATATGGCGATAACAAAAAGGCTAAAAAAAAAAAAGAAAAAAGAAAAAGAAAGCAGTAGTTAGTTTGCATGCTTAGATGTAGAGTTTATAATGTTCGTTCCAAATTCCAGAACTGAAAACCTTCTTTAAATTTCACTAAATTTCTCTAAATTTCAAATCTGTTCTGTCGTCCAGCTCTAATGACCTAGAATTTTCATTCGATCTTATTACGGTTACTCTCTGTTATCTTTAACAATCTTTTTTCATTTTTGACATGCTATCATTTGACCAATCTGAGATGGGTATTCTATACAGTATATAACTCTTGTGTTCTTCGTCCTATGAGTCTGTTTTACAGTATGGTCAACATAGTTTGCACTCCTATACATGTGTTTAGCTATAAAAAGTAAAAGCCTTATCTATACATATCTGTTACTACTATTGAGAAAAGGGCCATGGTTGGTACCTCCCGGGTGTTTCCTTTTCCACCATATCACAACTGATCTTGTAAGTTGTTTCCTTTTCCTCCCTATCACAGCTGATCTTGTAAGTTGCTTCATTCTTCTTAGATACAGTAGTGATATCAAAATGAAGAATTATGCTCGGTGCTCATTTTAAATGCATACCTACCAGATGTTCATTTTTGAAATTCTATATGCTTTTAATATCAAGTAGCCTTCATTTCTTCTTGAAATACTACAAGATTAACATTAAATTAATATCTGTTGTGATCTTCTACCATATTGATTACTCAGTTGCTACACATTAATTTGTTTAGCCTGATAAGATGTGTTAATTCCAATACATTAATAATGGAATACTAAAAGGTTTGTCCAATCCTTTTGTGTGTATGATACAAATTTCGTTTCACTTTGATTGTTCCTGCAAACTTTGTCAATTTGTCAATTATTAAAATAGTGATTGGAGTTTTCAAAAAAAAAAATTACTGACTGTGAATTTGTAATGTGCCAAATATAAGGTTAGTACTTTCTGATTTGTAATCAAATGCACTATTGTATATCACAAATTATTCTACTATCTAGGTTATTTTAGGGGAAAATTAAATCAAATGCCTTCAATTTTTAACCTGACAGTTGTGTTAAAGGTCTGTGCATTATACCTCTTAAAGTCCTTTTAAGTTCTTTGTTAATGTCTAAGTATTCTGTATTTGTAATTTCAGGATCAAGAGATATAGCTAGTAAAGATTTCAAAGCACTGTTGGAAAATTATATACTCAATATGTCTTGAAAGGTAAGTACTTTCACTTATCTTTGAAATAGATTTTTGTTAAATGCTTTGAATATAATATACAAATGTAAAGTTAAGATTATATTTTGACTACAAATACTATTGAAATAACAATAGGTTAATAATTAACCCTTACAGAATCATAAGACTAACTAAGTTTCTATAGCGAGAATTAGTTACCAAAAAAAAAAAAAAAAATCTATTAGAAAGATAATAGTTAATACTCAGGAAAAAAAAAAAAAAACCTCCAATTATTAGACAATTTAGCAAACATTTTAACACTTGAAGCTGCTGACAATTGAACGCAACTCGGGTGATTGACAAATATCATTACCTGCAATAGATGTAACCAAAAAAATAGAAAAAAAAAATATAGAGAAAGACTTCTTAGATGAGGAAAACATATCTAAAAGACAACGCATGAGAACTGTAATATCAATCTCCTACACATCCTTAGAATAACCTATTAAGCCAATTAACAACATGCTCGCAGAATATATGAGCATGCAAAACATTCCCCTGCAATTAGAAAGCAAATAAATAAATAAATACCTCTTGATCATGGAAGACACGTTTCTTACATTATCCCTACATTTTACAGGCTCACTTCCTCGCCATTCTCTAATATACTTTCAAAGCACATGTTGTTTTCATTAGCGTTATTTCACTGGCAAGAATGTAAATAGGTATTCTACCTTTTATTTGTTTCACTGAGTGCTTGTAATAATATAAGACTACAAAGTACAGAATGCATTTGAACTGAACTTAAACTCTATTTATAAGCATGATTTAGAAGTGTATTGGGACTGTATTTAATTTGCAAAACTATTGGATAACCAATAGACATGATTCATTTAATAAAAACACATCGTTTCTCAAATAGTAAATTTCGTAATTCAAAAAAGCTTATATTTAATTCAATTCAGTCGTATAAAATAATATGTCAATTCAATGTATCCATTCCAAAAGTCTTTAATGAGAATGGCAGCGTATCTGGTGGGCAGGAATTGGAGCCAAAAATTGTGACCATACCATTCTGCTTTATTATAGTTAAGATTAGGAAATTAGATTTCTCACTAATATTTAAATTTTATATTTCTTAAAAATTGTGAAGGGGCAAAATAATTTTAATCAAACTCACACTTTTATGGTTACCTGAAAGCATAAATGTTCACATTTGAACTCTTAGAAACACAATTTGAGAGTTCAAATGTTTCTCGAATTATCTTGATTAATCTTGCAATTACTTGAACTGTTTTTCCATATTACAATTACAAACTCAATTACAGTTTAATAAGACATTATGTCAGATTAGCAATTGTGCAATAAAATGAATCAAACAGTAAGTAAAGTCAATCAACACAAGGTTTGATAACCCAGTTTTATGCAATCACATCTACGTCTAAGTGACCCCCAATAGTGAATATAATCCAATGTTCAACACTGTTGTTGCCCGACTCACCGATTCACCCACTGCTGCACCACAACTAATATGGAATGCGGTCTTTGAAATGATAAAATCAAGTTTCTTCTCTTCAAGATCAATGAAAATTCAGGTTGTAGATGAATATCTTGAGAGAGTATTTTTAGAATAGTTCTTGTAAAACTTGGAGAGATGTTCTTTTGACCAATTCTCATTATCTCTCTATAACTACATTCTCTCTAGAATATATATACTCTGAATTTTGGTGTTCATAGCTCACTTCGACCTGCCGTGGGCTCGGTCAAAGGTCGACCCTTCCGTAGGGTAGTGAGCGAGTTCAGACCTCGTACCGGTTCTTAGGGGATAGCGTTTTAGTAACCAAGTCTTGAGCTTGACCAAGAAAACGCCCTTCCGCTGGGTAGCTAGCGGGATTGGATCCCGTGCCGGCCCTTAGGGAATAGCGTTTTCTTAACCAAGCCTTGAGCTTGACTAAGAGAACGCCCTTCCGTCGGGTAGCTAGCAAGATCGGATCTCGTGCATGGCCCTTAGGGAATATAGTGTATGAGTTTTTGTTTTTATTTTTGTTTTTAGAACGAGGACACACCTCATTTGAATGAGTATGAGGTCATGACCTCAACCTCCCACTTTGCTAACACAAAGGGCTTTGTTGACAAGAGTAAAAACATTTTTTTATTCAACAAAATTGATTAGGGCGGACCATGACCAATAGTCACATCAATAGTCTTATTGTTGATCTTTTGCATTTTAGCGAATAACATGTTTTTTTGCACTGCGCGAGTTCCTCATCTAACGCCTTGTCTCCTTTTTCCATGATCTGATCATACCCCATCTTTTTCGTGTCAGAAGCGGATGTCTCGGGGCCCTCTCCCTTTCGCCACACATTTTCAAGTTGGCCTTGTTGTTGTTGTCCTGGACACTTCACAAATTGAGTAAAGTATCCCCTCTTAATGAGCTTCTGTAGTTGTCACTTCAGAACGTGACACTCGTTAGTGTCGTGGCCAACCTGCCAGTGGAATCGACAATGTTTGGTCTGGTCTACCTTAGGGAAAAATTTCATGCACTCATCTGGGAATTGCACCATCCCCATTTCCTCGGCTTGGTCCAGGATTACGCTAACCGAATGGGTCAGTGGGGTTAAATGACACAGGGAGATCAAGCGAGGTCCTACTAATGACTGATCTCTACTTCCCTTCTTTGATGTAGACGAGCCTGACACCTGGTTAGCTGGACCCGTTTTCTTGAACTTCCTCTGGTCTTGCCTTCCTTCTCTTCTTATCATCCTCCTCTGCTTCTGCGTAGCAGTTGGCCGTCCTCATTAGATGTTCATAGGAGCGAGGATGGTGGTGTTTAGCTGCCTGTGAAAGTCTCTGGACCTAAGAGCTTGTATAAACACCGAGATTTCCGCCTTTGAGTCAATGTCGCGCACATTATTTACCTCTTTTTTCCATTTGTTTAGGAAATCTCTTAGGCTCTCTCATTTTTCCTACTTTATTACGCACATGTGAGAGAAAGGCTTCTTGTGTTGTATACTGCCGGAGAAGTAAGTCAAGAAGCTTTTGGATAGCTCTGCAAAATTTTGGATTGATCCATCCAGGATTGTATTGAACCTATCATTGGTCGTCCCATCCAAGGTGGACAAGAATGCCTTGCACATGATGACATCATCTGCCCCAATCATCACCATAGCCGCCTTGTAGCTTGTAATGTGTGCACGCGGGTCCGAGGTCCTAGCGTAAGCTTTGATAGCCGGAAGCCTGAAATCCTTCGGAAGGGGTACACCCATTATTCTCAGGGTAAATGGTGCGGCCATCCTTACCTCGGGTTCAGGCGATTGCTCCCTCGCCTTTATTTTCTTCTCTAGCTCCTATATTTTCTTCTGCAGCCGCTCTACTACTTACTCCTGCATGGTCGGGGTTCACTTATGCACAGTGGACTGACGCGGAATCGGTCGTCCAAACTCACCCACCTTTTCTGACCGTCCCGACCGCTCTTCCTCACCCACTGTCTTGGTTTCGTCCTGGTGTGGTCCCTTGGTGGATGACCCCTCGGTCCTTAGTTGTGGCCCTAACTTCTGCCGGATAGTCACCCTCTCGCCCAATCGTTCCAAGACGGGCATAGAAGCGGTCGACCGATGTCCGACAGAGCCGCCTACTTGAACTCCTTCCCCTCTGCCCTTCAACTCTCTTCCCTTGGAGCGAGATTGAGTTTTAGGGGTCGAACTGCGACGCTGGGTCCTCTCTCGCCGTGGCAATATCACTTCATTTTCCTACGCGGATGCCCATTGCACTTGACATTGAATCCCTGATTCCCTGTCACCAATTGGGTTAGAGCCGCCGCTGCCTGCTGAATGACCTGGCCGTCGCCTGGAGATCCACATGTTGTACCTATGCCCTGGGCTCTTGCTGCCTTTCACCACGATTGTTGTTGAGCTGGTTGCGGAGTTCATCATGATTGTTGTTGAGTTGGTCCCTGAGGTTACTTGAGTTTGTTTGTCGGGCATCCATGTGAACACTGCCATTGCCGTTGATGTTCATGCTAGGGGAACCACGAACGTTGTTCAATCTAGATTGTGCCATTTTTCCAAGCTTGTTGATGGGATTGAAAGATGTGTGTTATTGCCTTGAGTTGATTCTCAAGCTCTCAATAAAAACATCAATGACGGTAAATATGTTACTGGAGTATATTAGGAAAGAAGTAGAGCAATTGTATTGATATGTTCCAAGTACAATATTTTCAGAGCGTCTCCCATCTTGCTACACAGGGTCAACATTTATACTATAAACTTGTAACATCTACAATAATTATATCAACGACCTCCTAATAAGTGACGCTACCTCCCTAGTTAATTGAGGCGCCCTCCTCCATAAGTGCATTGACCTTCTATAACTTCTCTCTTTGATAAGGCGGTGATCTTATTGTGTGGGCTCTTGTAACTGTTCCACATGCTATGTGCTCTTGACTGTCATCACTGCTTTGATGGGTTAGACCAAATGCACCGGGTCGGATTCAGTACCTTGTCCAATTACCACGTCAACAACCGATTGAATAAATAAAAGATAAATAATGGAGAAGAAAAAAATAAATAGACACGCTAATTTTTTCGTGGAAATCGAAAGGTAAAAATCACGGGTCTTTTTAGGCGGTTCCAAACCAAAATCCACTATATTTTGAAAGTTTGGTACATGTACAATATGGTGTTCTCTAGAGAGATATGGGATGAGAAGATTTCGATGCCTTTCTTTGTGACTGACTAAGACCTTTTATAGTGGAAAAATAGGTAGAGTATATGGTAATCGGGATCTATATGGTAATTCGGTATTTATAGTGAGGTATGGTAATTAATGAAATTTGGAAAGTGATTTTAGGAAGGAGAAAGATAATTTAAGGAGTAAAAGCTAATTTATGTTGATCTTGATTGTCTTTCTATAATTGCGTGGTTGCCATATAATTCCTTCTTTTACAGTCGTGATTGACGAGTCACGTCCCAAGCTGAGTGCTGGTCCGACTACTATCTAATGCCTGCTTGGTTCACTACCCCTAGTCCATGTTCCATCAATATTTATATCACTTATGTAATATTAGAATAACCTTATAGTTATTTCAAAAAAAAAAAGAATAACCTTATAGTTAGGAATAGAATGGCTTGTAAATGGAGTAAAAGACAATTTTGGTCCTAGACTTATAGTGGCACAGACAATTTTAGTCCTTAATAAAAAAATCAGACAATTTGTGGACACTCTTATTGTGACGAGGACAATTTTAGTCCTCCGTCTATATTTCTGTTAGATGGCCGTCTGAGAGGAGGGCAATTGCGTCAATTCACCCTATTTTCTTCTCCAACCTTCAATCTCTGTAAGTCTCTTGTTGTACTATGGACCAATGCACAATTTGCAGCCATACTTCATCTCCACAGACTGCAATTTAAGACGCACCAAAACTAAATTACTTCATAGGAAAGCTAATCAAACACAAAGCACTCAAAATTCAGAACTTATATTGCACTGAATTCTCAAAAAATCAGAAATGTATTATTAAATCAGTAATGGAGTTGAAAGAAACACTGGACCTGACCGAGAATATGCGCACTCGAGTGCCAGAAAGTACCCCGCCCCTCGTCACTATCAAATGTGAATAGCTCGAGCTTGCAGTCACCCTCCAGTGGCCTGGACATATCCCAGAGCACACTGTTGACCTTTGAAATCAAAGCATTCGATGTCAAGCTCTTGGATAGTTCCTTCGCAATGTCAAGGGGCGTTGTATTCCATTTCTTCCCCTCCTTCACTGAATCACTGACCCATTCGTTAACTCGATCCTTGGAAACTAGAAAATGTCAATTGAATGAAATCATAAACCGAAAAAACAAGCATCATTTATGCATTTTCTATGTGAAAGCATCAATGGATAATAGCAGGTACTTTACTTGATGGGATAAGGAGAGAGAGAGAGAGAGAGAGAGAGAGAGAGAAAGGCGCTGCATTTGCTGCTGAGATTTGATGGATTTGAAGATAGAAATTCGCTTAGGAATCACGCTTTGGAGATAAGCATCGTCTTTGGGGTGCTCCGGCACGGAGTTGTTGGCGGCAGAGCTTTTGTCGGGCTTGCCCATTTGAGATGGCCGGAGAGAGAAGCGGCGAATGAAGCTGGAGTTCGACGGCGATGGATGAAGGAAAGAGATGAGGCGCCACAGGAGTTTCGGGGTTGTGCATACCATAAAGCAAGCAAAGCCAGCCGATATGAGAAGGTACGGGTTTTAGAAGGTGAGTGAGGGTTTTGATTTAGCAGGCTGAGATTCCAATTGTGCTCAGAGAATTGAAGGTTGGAGAAGAAGATAGGGTAAATTGACGCAATTGCCCTCATCTCAGACGGCCATTTAACCGAAATATAAACGGAGGACGAAAATTGTCCTCGTCACAATAAGAGTGTCCACAAATTGTCTGATTTTTTTATTAAGGACTAAAATTGTCTGTGCCACTATAAGTCTAGGACCAAAATTGTCTTTTACTCCTTGTAAATGTATAATTGAATTACCCATGAATGAAGGAAGATGAGGAGGTGAGTCACAAGAGGCGATGGGTTAAATGCGAAATGCGAACCCAAAGCGCGATGGATAATGAAATTCCGATTGTATCCTCGCCCACAAATTAAAGTCGTTCATCTTTCTCCTCTAATAAGGACTGTGTTCAGGTTCAGTCCTCTACCCCAACAACACAACACAAACACATCTTCCCAAGCACGGCCTTCGCCTCCCCCACTCCCATTCCCACTCCCAAATCTTTCACTGTGTTATAGAGAGAGAGAAGAGAGAGAGAGAGACGAAAACTGCGACGCTCTCTATATACATCTCATCCAATTGTCTACATATATCCACCTTCCCCGTTGATCGGCCGTCGATCGATTCCGACGTCTCCCGGGCATTCTTCTCTCTCCCGCTTGATTCACAGTGAGTCTATCTCTCCCTACGCGATAAGATACGTATGTTGTATATGTACACGCCCGCGCGCCTTCGTATCACTGCTTAATTTCGTGTTTATGTACATAGAGAAGAGATAGATGCATATATATGCATGTCAGTGAATTGGCATAGGGGAAATTGATGGGGCACAAGAAGCGACCGATCGCTCCTCGCTCCAAACCCTCAGTTGCGCCGGTGGAGGTTGCGGCCGTTGCAGTCGACGAGGCGGCGCCACCGGCACCGCTCGAATCGGACACAAGCGCGGTTTTGGTTCAGGAGAAATCCTTGATTCGGCATGACCAGGCAGTGGTTGAATCGGAGACGAATGCTTCGTCGTCTTATGCTAATATCAAGCTCGAATGCGAGCGGGCTCTCACGTCCCTGCGTAGAGGGAACCACAACAAAGCCCTAAGGTTGATGAAGGACTTGTGCGCCAAGCATGAGAACTCGCCCAACTTGGCCTTGATTTACCGGGTCCAGGGCACGGTTTGTGTTAAAGTGGCATCTATTATTGATGATCCCAACGTGAAGAACAGGCATTTGAAGAATGCCATTGACAGTGCTAGGAAGTCTGTGATGATGTCCCCTAATTCTATTGAGTTTGCACATTTCTATGCAAATTTGTTGTATGAGGCTGCAAATGATGGGAAGGAATATGAGGAGGTTGTCCAGGAGTGTGAGAGGGCATTGGCAATTGAAAACCCAATTGATCCTGCAAAAGAGAGCTTACAGGAGAATCAACAGAAGGTATCCACGCCGGAGGCTCGGATAGCCCATGTACAAGGTGAGCTAAGGAATTTGATTCAGAGATCTAACCTTGCATCCATTTCTACTTGGGTGAAAAACTTTGGAAGTGGTGAGGAGAAGTTCAGGTTGATACCAATTAGGAGGATGTCAGAGGACCCCATGGAGTTAAGATTAGTACAGGCAAGAAAGCCCAATGAAATTAAGAAGGCCACTAAGACACCTGAAGAAAGAAGGAAAGAGATTGAGGTTCGAGTGGCTGCCGCAAGACTATTGCAGCAGAAGTCGGAATCAGCTCAGTCATTTAATGATGGGGAAAGGAGCTTAGACTTATCAGCTGGGACAGGGCAGAGGGGAAATGAGAGAAGGAAGAGTGGAAATGCCAGGAAGAATGTGTCTTCCATGGAGAGAAGGGACTGTGTGCGGTCCTATTGGAATTCAATGAGTACAGATATGAAGAAAAAATTGCTTAGGATTAGGATTGTGGACCTCAAATCCCATTTCGGTTCTTTGAAGGATGGGTTGGCAAATGAAGTATTATCTGAAGCTTTATCATTTGCTGAAGCTAATAAAGCATGGAAATTTTGGACATGTTGCCACTGTGTTGAAAGATTTGCAGACTCTGAATCTCATATTCAGCATGTCATAAATGAGCACATGTGTAGTTTGTCTCCTAAGCTGCAGTCAGTTTTGCCTCAAAATGTGGAGAATGAGTGGGTTGAGATGCTTCTCAACTGTTCTTGGAAACCCTTAGATATTAATGCTGCAGCAAAACTGCTTGAGAAACAATTAAAATGCCGGGTGCATGGTTTTCTAGAAAACACATATACAAGGAGTGACATGGATGAGTCTAAAGATGATATTTCTGACCCCTATTGTAATGTATATGGGTGGGATCGATCACCTATAAAGAAGACATTTGGAGATGGATGCAATGGAACTACTGTTGACAGTAGAGAATATGATAAGAACTCGGAAGTTTGGATGGACCGTGATGGCAATGAAGGCACTAAGATTTGTCCTCCCTCTGAAAGCTGGCCAATAGCCGATGACCCTGAACGTGCAAAGCTTCTTGAAAGGATAAATGTTGTATTCCAAACACTGATTAAAAACAAATATCTTGGTTCTAGTCATCTGAGCAAGGTTATACATTTTGCAGTAGAGGAGCTCCAGAGTCTTGGTTATGGATCTCAGCTGCTCAACTACAATATTGATCAAACTCCCTTGTGTATTTGTTTTTTGGGTGCTCCAGAACTTAAGAAAATTCTGAAATTTCTTCAGGAGCTTTCTCATTCTTGTGGTCTCGGTAGGTATCCTGAGAGAAGTACTGCCATAGATGATATTAGTACTGGCATTCAGGGAGTTGATGCTATGGAGAAAATAGTTTTCAGCGAGGATGGTTCATGTTTATTGTTTGACGAGCATTTCAAGCCATGCAAGCTTACTCCCATCACGTTTCATGATGGAGTTGTTACTGATTCTAATCCTAATTCTGCAGCAATTTCTTCTAATATCCAATGTGACAATGGAGGCTTACTTGATTCTGATGAATTGTTATCATGGATATTTATGGGCACATCAAGTGGCGAGCAGTTGACATCCTGGTCACGTTCAAGAGAAGAGAAAGCCCAACAGGCTATGGAAATTGTAAGATTACTTGAGAAGGAATTTTATGAACTTCAGGGCTTGTGTGAGAGAAAATGTGAGCATTTAAATTATGAGGAGGCTTTACAGGTGGTAGAAGATCTCTGTTTAGAAGAGGGTAAGAAAAGGGAGCACACAATAGATTTTGTCCGCCGAAGTTATGATATTGCCTTGAAGAAGCGGCGAGATGAACTCATGGAAAGTCATCATGAGGCTACTAGTACCAACTACAGGTTTGAGATTGAAGCCATTTCAAGTGTTCTAAAAGACGCAGAATCTCTTAATGTTAATCAGTTTGGATTTGAAGATACATATGGTGGAATTTCATCTCATCTTTGTGATTTGGAATCTGGTGAAGATGATGATTGGAGGGTGAAAGACTACCTTAATCAGGCAGACTCATGTGTAGAAGTTGCAATACAGAGACAGAAGGAACATGTCTCAGTTGAGGTTGGTGCACAAGTCATTGTTTTCCCTCAAAACTATATTGTCAAGATCAGCATGCTCCTCTAATTCTAATTTTTTTCCTTAATGCAGCTGAGCAAAATTGATGCAAGAATCATGCGGGTAGTTAGTGGGATGCAGCAGTTGGAAGTTAAGCTTGAATCCGTGTCTGCCCATGATTATAGACAGATATTAGTTCCTCTAGTGAAGTCATATCTGCGGGTCTGTAAATGTTCTTGTCTGCATAATGCTTTCTATTCTTTTCTTTTTTCTTCTTTTTATTTCTTGATTTCTTTCCCTGTTCTTTCATATGATGATTAGATGATATAACCTTTGTCTGCAGGCCCACTTGGAGGATCTAGCGGAGAGAGATGCCACAGAGAAATCTGATGCTGCAAGAGAAGCATTTCTGGCAGAACTTGCCCGTGATTCCAAGAAGAGCTCAAATGTAGGAAGTGAGAATGCAAAACATTCACATGAAAAGACAAGGGATAAGAAAAAGATCAAGGATTATCGGAAAACCAAGGATTTAAAGGTCCTTACTGTCAAATCTATCTTTTCTTTATTCTTTTTTATGGATGTAGTCACATGCTGGAGCAGAATTGATAACTTACCTCTTTTCTTTTCAGGGTTCTAATGGGAATGGATTGCATGCTCTTCACCATGACACTGCTGAAGAGGCGTATGTCTCCATAATTTAGATATTTCATATAGTGAACTGCTTAACTTCTACAAATTGCACAAAGAAAGCTGTAGAGTACCTTTAATGTTCTCAAAATTTCTATGTTTTGACAGCTCGTTTTCAGTTGTTCATGATGGAGGCAGTGAAGATGCTGAGCTTTCTAATGGGGGGAGCAACTCTATAACTCAGGAGGAGGAGGAGCAAAGACGCAGGATTGAGCTTGAAGCAGAGGAAAGAAAGCTTGAAGAAACTTTGGAGTATCAAAGACGAATTGAGAATGAGGCTAAACTAAAGCATCTTGCTGAACAACATAAAAAAGGTGCAAGAGCACTTCTGGAGTTGCCTGAAGCAGCGCCCAATACTTTTTTGAATTACAATGAGCAAGATCATGTTGTCAATAAGCAACAGGGAACTACCAAGAAGGTGAAGATTTGGGGCTCTTCATCTTTCTCTCTCTCTGTTATACAAATATGGCCTTTCAAAATTTCTTCCCTGAAATTTAGACCTTGAGTCCCCTTAAAGTTTGGAGGATGGCTAGTTACATGGATTTTTGGCTCAGCGTAAATGATTCTAACATGCAAGGATTGTATTTTTTAGGAATTGCTTCAGAGTAATGGATCTCCATTGGAGGGCCATCCAAAGAACTCCACAGTTTCAGATATACACAAAGCTGGTATTGCTCTTGGTCAGTATGAGAGATTTCATGGTATTGGGTGATGCCATTATAATTTTAAACATCTTTTATGTTGCTCAGGATTTTCTAATGGAGGATTTCTTGAGGATGGTGCTTTGACTTCTGATCGACGGGCAGGAAGACGAAGTAGGCGTCAGAAGGGTTCGGCAAAATATAATGAAGAAAAGTGTCCACCAGTTACTTCTGGAGCAGAAAATATTGAAGTTGGTGAAGTGAGACCTGTGGATGACTCACTAGGTTAGTGACAGTGTTTTACCTTTATTTTTTGGACAATTTAACAATTTACGTCTGGTCTTTTCTTTCTGACTTATTATTTTATGTTGCTACCTAAGTATCTAAGATAACACTATTTAATTGATTATAAACTAGGATTTCAGTCCTCCCCCTTACTGCTAACATGTAAAAAACTACTGCTGAAAATATCATTTACACTTCAAAGTTAAAAATGTCCTCGATCATGAAATTGTTTATTCTCATGCTCCTTACCCAGAAGTTTTGAGTAAGAGGCTGTATTATCATCTCGAGCCTTAACTAGCTAGCTAATAGAGTGTCTGAGGATTTTCCTAGCTAGTTGTTTTCTAGGTCTTGGCCTATGAGATGTGTTTGTTTTTGTGTTTGCAAATTTCTTGATCCTTTCTTCTCCCTTTCCCTTTCCGCTTTGTGCATGTGTACTGAATTGTCCATGAGAGATTTTTTATACTCCTGAAAAAAATTCTTTCATTCTTCAATAATTCTACAATGTATGATCCTCACAATAATTTCAATCTTTCTTACTATTGTTGTTTTGGTTTTCTTCAATGTAATGCTCCAATTGTTAAACATATGGAGGAGGAATCTTGGTACTGCTAAAAACATTTCTTCATTTGTTAGTAATTTTAATCTAATTTTTTCTGTTTTGGGTCTATTTGTTGGAATCCTACATATGTTTTCCAGATTATGGTAGTAAATACAGTTATTTTTCATACACTTTAAGAAACATCAATTGGTTATTCAATCAATGATTCCCCTCCTTGCCCTCCCTCCCCTGACAGGAATAGTTCCCCATTTTATGGTAGTGCAAGTTTTGCTGATGGAAAGCATTGGTTATTACAACAGAAAGATAGTAGAGAGCTCCTTGGCCTCTTTTATTTGCTAATTCCCTCTATTTGTGTGTGTGATGTGCATGGTCAAGTACAGATTTTATTATTACATAGCATGTGAAAACTCTTGATATCTTACTTTTACAGCATGTTTAGTTCATTGAATGGGTTTTGGAGGAATAAAAATCCTTTTGCATAGGGATAGGATAGGAATAGAATATCTCTATTCCATTGTTTGGTTGGTTTAAGGAATGGAAATGGAATAAAAATCTACAAAAGACAAAAATACTCATATGCTGAGTATTATATATTTAAATATGTAAATAGATACGTGTACACGTGTGTGTGTACATGTGCACTAAATGATACACACACACACACGGAATGTGCATAGGGAATTGAGAACAGAAAGCTTTACCAAACAATGGAATAGGCCTATTCCCAATGATATATTCCCATTGTTGTAAAACATGCCTAGGCGCTAGGCACCCCTATGCCAAAGCAGAATAGGCGAAAGCCGCCATTTTAGGTGGCCAGCTGACTAGTTGACCCAGTCAGCTTATGGGCCGCACAACGGAAAATTGAAAACCAAAGCCACATAAAACATCACAACACCAAATTGCAAAATCGGAAGTCATGGAGTCAGCTACTCACCCTTTGCCCCCTTTCGTCGCCCAGCTGCCTGACAAGCGACGATCGTTGGTGACGTTGAGACTCCATTGACAGTTGATTGCCGCAGCTTAGGTGCCAATGCTATTGTCACAGCCAGTGACGAATGACGATGGTTAAGATGTGGATGCGATCAACAATCAGTGACGGCGTTGAGTTGCCGCTCTCCGAACACCATTGACGGCCAAACACCAGTCGCCAGAGGTTTTCAACTTTTCTTTTTGGGATTTGGCTTTGACTCTTCCACTTTTCATTGTGATTTTTGAACTTAAAAATTAAACCCTAAGCACCTAGGCTTTTACTTTTCCAATTTTATTTTTGGGCCTTGGTTTTTACTTTCCCACTTGGGCTTTGTCTTGCCACTCGCCATTCTCTGATTTTCCTCTTTTAGTTGGGTGCCAAGCATTTTTTACAACATTGTCTATTCCATCCCAGACCTATTTTGTGAACCAAAGCTCATAAAGAAACCCCTTTATAATGTGCAATATGGAATAGTAGAAAACTTGTTGCTTAATTTATGTAAAGTAATATTAGTATAAAAATAATTAGTGTCTTTAGAATTGCATAAATAGGCTGCAATTGTTGATTTCTTCAGATCACTTTATTGGGCAGAGTATCTACTGGATTATTTCAAAGATTTCTAGTGATAACTCCCTGTTTTGTCATTTTGTTCTATGTCTACTTCATAGCCAGCCACTATTGCAAGGAGGGTTGCATCAGCAAATACTGATCCATGATTCTTATGACTTTCAAAACATAGTCACAGTAATATATTTGAAAGAAAAAACTATAATGTGGCTCCAGATGGATGGCTGGTTCGAAATATTGAAGTGACTACTTAGGGTTCTCAATAGGTTAAATTGAGCACACTTGCTAATTCCATATTTCTCTTCATACCATACAAAGTCTACAAGGTTGATCACATTCTCTTCCATAGATGAATATGGCATAAATTTTGGAAGAACCATAAGCATATTAGAATGGTAGTTTATCTGTGTGGGCATTGGACAATTGAGTAACCTCTGTCATCACCTTCTTTTGGCAACTAGCGTTGCTTGGTGAATTTGGGGAGCGGGTGACATTTCTAATTGATTTGCAAACTGTACCGGTGTTTTGTAAGCTAACGACGTTGTTCTTTGTTAACCCCTGAAAAATCTTTCTACTCAAGCAATGAAAATTATTCTGATTATAGTAGTAAGTTAAGGAACACTCCATCAGGATACAACTATACTACAGTATGCATCTTCATGTAGATTAGCAGTTTTATACTCAAGTTTATTTTCAAATATTAACTTATAAAAGAAATATTTTTGTCAAATATTACTTTACCTAAAAGAGATGTAATTATGATTCCTTTTTCTGAAGTTAACTCGTGAATTCACCATATTTTTGTTTGCAATGTAGAAAAAAAGCATGCTGGAGAGAGTGGCCCGAAAACGTTGAGACAGCTGCATGTGGAGGATGATGATGAAGAAAGGTTTCAAGCTGATCTTATGAAAGCTGTACGACAAAGCCTTGGTATGTGAATCTATCTCCCCTTTAGTTTTTGGTGTATTGTTTTATATTATAGAGCTGTTTCTTTATATGGCCCCCTAGATGTATGTGTGTACATGTGTTTTGCTATATGCACGGTTTGTGTTAAAGTGGCGCAGCCTTGTCGGGAAGCTCTCGCTTCTCTGCGGGGTGACGAAGTGACAAGGTGAGGCCAGGGGATGCTTTCTCATGTGAGGTGGAGTCAAACGTCCGTCAGCACAGGGAAAAAAAAGAAACATAGTAACCTGAAATTCTAGGCTTCACAAGTCACGACCTCTCTTCTTAGTTGTGAGACTCCAGACTTGAAAGGGTGTTGCTTGCCACTGCTAGACAACCAGACCCCATCTTGTTACCTCCCCGCCAACTGCAACCTTGTCATTGACAAATGACACACTTATCTCACTCTCTTCGACTCTTGCGAGTTGTGACTCTTGCTCTCAGATTCTCAGTTTTTTTTTTTTTTTTTTTTTTTTTTTTTTTTTTTTTTTTTTCTCGAAGTTTTCAGTAAGGACCGTAAGGTAGTCTTCCACTTTTCTCTATTTCTGAAGATCTTATATTCAGATTCTTTTATTCTTTAAAAAATATATTAAAGGTTTACTTTTTAAAAAACACATTTATAAAGGCATAAAGCTGTAATTTTAAATTTACTTTTTAATCAGGTTATACTCCCTTAATTTTTTCTTTAAAACTTTTAAAAGGCTTAAGGCTGAAAATTGTAATTTTAATGTTTTTTGATTTTGCAATTTTTTTGTTCGGTTTTTGTGATACAAATATTGAATATACAATATTGAATCTTTGAATATTGATTGTTGAAATTTGAATAATGATTATTGAATTGATTGTTAAATATTCAGTGTTGAATTAATTGTTATTCTTTGGAAAAGCATCACTTTGTGTAAAAAAGTGACTTGCTTCGTTTTGTTTGAAAAAGTGACGCTTTGCTTTGCGCTTTCGCTTTAAATCAAAGCCCGGCCTCACTCTTTGGTGCAGTTTTTCGTTTTAAAAAGTTTGCTTAGTAAGGCTTATCGTACAAATTTGTTCCAAGGAAATGTATATCCTTTTTTTATCTCATCTTTTGTCAGTTCTTAATTTTTACTTGGAATCTATGATAATATGATCCTTTATTTCGAATTCTTTACCCCTGAGATTTATTGTTAAATTTTGGTTACTTCTCTCACCTTTTTGCCAGACACATTCCATGCACATCAAAAGTTACCCTTGATACCTCGTTCTGGGACAGCACAGATCTCAGAGATGGCTAATTTAGGGGTTTCATGTGAGGATGTTGCCACTGGGATTGTTAATGGAATTGAAGTATATGGAACAGGGCTAAAGAATGAAGTTGGTGAATATAATTGCTTCCTAAATGTAATTATTCAGGTTTGTAATGAGAAACTGCTTTAGTACTATTACATTAGGTCATAGCAGGATGTCTTTACATGTATTTTACTTCTACTTTTTTGGTTTTGTACTTTGTGAGATGTTGTATTTGAGATGTTTCCTGTGTTGTTTCATTGCAGTCATTGTGGCATCTAAGACGATTTCGAGATGAATTCTTGAGATCATCTTCAGAGCATATTCATGTTGGTGATCCTTGTGTTGTATGCGCTTTATATGATATCTTTACTGCTTTGAGCTTGGCATCTTCTGAAACACGAAGAGATGCTGTTGCTCCTAATTCCCTGAGGATTGCCCTGAGCAACCTGTATCCTGATAGGTTGCTCTTCCAGGAGGTAAATCAAATTACTATCCTTACTGCCCTATTTTTGCCTTTTCTTTAGTTATCAAACCATAATTTTGCCATTAGCACGGATGCTTACATCTGACACCCCTGGCTTCAAGTACTGATCTAAATAGCTCTCATCGACAGGGCCAGATGAACGATGCTTCTGAGGTGCTGGGTGTAATATTTGAGTGCTTGCATCAATCATTTACATCAGCCTCAGGTGCTTCTGATACAGAATCAGTAGACAGCAGTTGTATGGGCTCTTGGGATTGTGCAAACAGTGCTTGTATTGTACACTCTCTTTTTGGAATGGATGTTTTTGAACGGATGAACTGCTACGAATGTGGATTAGAGTCTAGACATCTGAAATATACCTCTTTTTTTCACAATATTAATGCAAGTGCTCTCCGAACAATGAAGGTATGTTATTTGGAACATTTACAATGATGCTTACATGGTCATATGGAAATAATATTGAGAATTGAACAAGAAGTGTGCTATGGGACAGTCAATAGTTTTGTGGCTTGACTTCACAAAGTTATCTGTTTTTTGCCTTTCAGGTTATGTGTCAAGATAGCTCCTTTGATGAGCTTCTGAATCTTGTAGAGATGAACCACCAGTTGGCTTGTGATCCAGATGCTCGCGGATGTGGGAAACATAACCATATCCATCATTTCCTATCAACTCCACCACATGTTTTCACAACAGGTAGTCTCTCATCTCTTTACCCTTTCTGGCTTTGTGCAATATTTTCAAGAGCTGCAGCATTGAGAAAATGTTTGCTTATTGTGCTTTCTGATTTTAATGCTTGGCCTCTTTCCTGCAGTTCTGGGTTGGCAGAATACTTGTGAGAGTGTTGAAGACATAACGGCAACATTAGTGGCCTTATCTACTGAGATAGATATCAGTGTCCTTTATCGTGGTCTTGATCCAAAGAGCAAACATTGCCTTGTTTCAGTGGTAAACCTCCTATAACATAATTGATCCCATTTTGTTGGTAGATAACCATTTTGTTATTACTTATTAGGAGACAAGAACCACCCCTTTGACCTTTTATTAGGTCTAAGTTAACCATTCATATGCTTTTCTAATTCCTAACAAGTTCTTTTTTATTATTGGTCAATAATATGAAGATAATTGTAATCTTTCATTAAATATGTGAATACTTCAAAAATTGTCTTATGCTACATATCTTTGAGGTTGTATATATATCTGAAATATTTCTCTTCAGGTCTGCTACTATGGACAGCATTATCACTGTTTTGCATACAGTCATGACCATGAACGGTGGATCATGTATGACGACAAGACTGTGAAGGTAAAATTTATTTTCTGTCTTTTGTTCCGTGTTTATGGAGAGACATGGAGTTGTGTAATTATGGATGCTTGTTCTATAGGTGATTGGCAACTGGGCTGATGTACTCACCATGTGTGAAAGAGGGCATTTGCAACCACAAGTCCTATTCTTTGAAGCTTTAAACTAATTCTGATTGGAGATTGATATATATATCCATGCAATCATTGCACGGATGCGGTTCTTGGCCTGTACAAGGGCAAAAGTTTTTGAAGTAGTATTTCAAGATTGGAGAATCACAGAAAGATAATGGAAGAGCAAGTATAGCTAGCTGTTTTGGCCCTTGACTATTTTACCTTCTGGATCAAGTTTTGTGGGACCATCAATTTTTTTGTAAGATCCATGGATCTTTCCAATAAGGTGGTTCAGTTGAGCCATTGAGGAAGAAGAATTACTAGCCACTGGTTCCTGAGCTATTATGTAGGAGTTGGTAGACATTTGCACTCACCGTCACCGAGGCTATGATATTGACATTATTGCTGTACACAGGAAATTCAAGGTAAATTTGGTCATCTTTATACATTTCCAATATAAGAAAGCTTTGTATAGATCCGATCTTCAGTCTTCTATAGCCTTCTAGCAATGCAGTCTATAATACATTCTCTTTTTCTTTTTCTTTTTTTCTTTTTTCTTTTTTGGAAGAAAGATTTTGAATGGAGTAGATGCTTTTATCAAAACCTGTAAGTTTTGATGATAATGGAAGGGAGGGATTCTCAATGTTTTTCTAGCTGCTGCCCGTGGCTGCAAAGCTTTACCAGTAATGCAATATTTCTGTTGATAACTATTTGAACAGGGATTTTCCTTTGTAGGGACTTTCCAGACTTATTTGCACTTAACTGATTTTTTATATCATTCATTTTGCTTTACGGTTACTTTGTTTTTTGGAGTGACGAGGAAACCTGCAGACACTCCCTGATGGTATGTATCAGGTAAATCTCGTCTTGTGACCCTAGTTGGCAAAGGATCACAAAGAGATAAGTAAGCCTAGGTTGCTCATAGAGTCATAGTTAACCGGCTTAAACCAAAAGGGTTGAGATTTGAACTCGTGACTTTGTGGTTACAAGTTTGTATACTTAATCATTTTGGTTGAGGTTACCCTCCAAACTCGATCTAAAACTTTTAACTAAAAAAATTATTATAAATTATAAATTAAATATATTTTATAACAATGTCATATGAGATATTCACATGTCTAATTGCAAGTTATTTCTTAGTAAAAGCATCAATGACACTTTTTTAACAATTTTTTTGCTTTAAATTAATTCTTGTTTGCGATGGCTTAATGTACTTTCCCCAAAATTTTATTATGTAGTTTATAGAAATATTATAGCAAGTATAAATATTAAATACAAGAATGTGTTATCATAAGCAATAAAGCAATATCATTTTAGTTTAATACTTTATTTGACATTCGGAGAGCCGGAGATTTGGATTAACATTTTCAAAAACAAGTGCAGCACTAGCACAAATCTAAGTAAGATTTGCTCAAGTCTGTGTGTGATAGCGGGTATGTTAGATTGTGAACATACTTGAAACAAAATGAAATTGCAAGCTGGTGTGGCAAACAGATTGTGGGTGTTTGGTAAATAGATGTTAGTTAATTGGGTTAGTGGGTTTGACTAGTTGATAACATTTGCTGATTGTAGAAAGATGTTTGGTAAATTAGCTGATAGTTGATTACATGTAAAATGACTTTTTAAAAACTGATCGAAAAAAGTAGTTTTGAACAACTTTTTGAATTTTAATTTTTTGGAATAATTAATTAATCAAACATTTGAGAAAGTATGTTTGAACAGATACTACAATGTAATAGAGTCAATAGCATTCAAAAAAAAAATTAATCAAACACTTATTAGTTGTTTAACCAAGTCAAACAATTAAAAGCGGTTAAACAAGTCAAAATTAATTGATAAGCTAATTATGTTGTCAAACAAGGCCTTTTTTTTTTTTTTTTTTTAAGTAAAACTATGAACAACACTTGCAAGTTTTCGTAATTTGAAAGAATTGCAATTATTGTTTAAATAAGCTTTTAAAAAAACTTTTTGCACCAATTAAGTACTTATAATATTTTAATGATACAAATAATTTTATTATTATATTACATCATAAGAGTGTGTTGGAATATAGAGAAAATAGTACTCTATTGTAAATTGTAAATATGGTGATATAATATTAGAGTTTACTTTTGAAAATGAGAGAGAATTATTGAGATAAGATAATGTTAGATAAGGCGAAATGCTCATGCAGTCCTGAGCCAAAGCGAAGCAAAACATAAAGTTATTTTTATTTATCAACACCAAACCTGCACGCTGCATCTCTCTTATGGCCAAATCTCAATGAATTGTTTTGAGCTATATGAACTATGTAAGGGTCCAAAATGTATGTGATTAAAAGGGTATCAATGAGATTAATGTTTTACTTTAAAAAAATTAGTGAATTGAATAAGATGATGGACCACTCTAATCACAATGGCAAATTTGCATGATGCATACGGATGTAAAAATGACGTCGTTTTGCATCAAAACGCATGTCCTACTTTAAAAAAAAAAATCAGTTTTGATTCTCAGCAACAATATTATGTTGTTCATTTTTTAGTTCATTCATTTTGAATTTTTAGTTATGAAATTATGGATGTGTAATTATGCATGATGTAGTTATGCAATTCTGGATTTTATATTATGAAGTTATGAATGTATAGTTATGCAATTCTGGATATGTAGTTATGAAGTTATGGATGTGTAATTATGCAATTTGGATTTATAGTTATGAAATTATGGATGTGTACTTATGTAATTCTGGATGTATATTTATGAAATTATGGATGTGTAGTTATGCAATTCTGATTTTTTTTTTTTAAAGTTGAACGTCAAAACGACATCGTTTTTGCATCCGTATGCACCATGCACGGTGCATACGGATACACAGCATAACGATTGAATCACAATGATGTCAAATAAGTATTTGTAGAACGATAAGAATAGAAAGTTGTTTCAATAGCTCTTCAAACAAAGTCTAAAATTGTTGTAGTATTTTATATTTAATTTTAAATTTGAAGTTTGAATGAATAGTTGCATCTTTTCATGAATAAATATACTTTTTTCATAAGCCAAGCTATTTTCATGGGGCTCATTTGCATTCTAGTATCATCCAATGACGGGGGCCATATTCAAGTTGATCTGAAAACTCTCTTCCTCCTCCAATAAAGTTTTTTTTTTTTTCTCTTTTTTATTTTATTTATAATTTTCTAGAATGATACTCAAATAGGTTATCGAACTATGTATAAAAATTTAAATGGGTCATTTAACTAAAAAAAAAAAATACAATTAAGTCATTGAACAAAACAAAATCATGTAATTGAACCAAAATTAACTTGTCACCGTTGATGTGGCAGTCATCCTACTAAAAATTATTATTTTTAATTTATTAAATTAATTTTAAAATAAAATAAAATTAAAACAAAATATGAGATGATGTAAATCGTACGACTTGTATTTTTCGTATATCGTATGACAACCGTGTTTCTTATGTAGGTGTAAAATATGAGAAACGCAAGTCGTACTTGCGTTTTTTCATATTTTACGCGAAAAAGAATGATTTCCATAAATTTAAGAAACTTATTTGGGACTTGCATTTTTTACAACAAAAAGTCCCAAAGAAATTTTTTCTATAAATATTCAACATTTTAAAAGTGTTTGTTTTTATCCACTCTTCTACTTTTTTGCTCATTTCAGTCTATTACACATTTACCCTTTTATCTACCCCTCCCAAAATATATTGGAAAAAGTATCAAATTGACCCCCTAAGTCATTCGGATAGTGCAATTAGGTCCCCTAAGTAAAAAAAAAAAAGAAAAAAAAAAAGAAACTCCATTTAGATCCCTTAAACATGTGAAATAATTCAATTGTGTCTAAATTAACATGTGTAACAGGTTAATTTATCCCAAGCTCGACACGTGTCACTTTTAAAATGTTTTTTTTTTATTTATATTCTTTAAAACATTTTTATTTATTTATTTAATTATAAAATAAATAAATAAATAAATAAAGTAGTTTCTGCCTCTGGCTGTCCGCCGAGGGCAACCGGTGGCTTTTCATGGACAACCATGGGCCCATGGTTGTTTGGCGAGGACAACCACGGCTGTCAAACATGAGGTGCATATTTGGACCTCATGTTTGACAGCCATTGTTGCCCGTAAAGGATGTTGCCACCGGCTGTCCTCGCCGAACAGCCGATGACAGAAAGTCCTTTATTTTGTTTTTATTTTTATTTTTTTATAATTTAATAAATGTATAAAAAAAATTTAAAAGTGACACGTGTCAAGCTTGGAATGAATTAACCTGCTATACAAGTTGATTTGGACTCAATTAAATTATTTTACAGGTTTAAGAGCACTGAATGGAGCTTTTTTTTTTTTATTTTTTTACTTAAGAGACCTAATTACACTATTTAAATGATTTAGGGATCAATTTGACACTTTTTTCAAAAATATTCTATTTAAGTCAAAATCCCTTTTGGATTTTGGAAGCAGTTGATGGTAAGGGCATCCTCAATAGTTGGGGATTTTACCCCTAATTTTTGTGGGCCCCAACATCCACCTTATCATCAACTATCTCACTCAATCACAAAATCTCTTCTTCCCATTAGTTTTAAGTTTTTCACAACTTTTTGTGGACCCACCATTTTATCTCTATATTTTAATTATTTCTTTATTTATTTCATTTATAAATTTATAATTTTAGAGATAAACATAAATGATACGTAAAAATAATATGTAAATTAGCATACGTAAAAATTGCAAATAAAAAGTGTTAAAAGTTGTAAAAAATGTGTTATTTATAACAAATAAAATCATAATTATTAATTACAAAAATCATATGTAAAAATCATGATTATAGCAAAAATCATATTATTTTAATATATAAAATTATAACAATAATAAAAATTAAAAAAAAAAAAAAGAATAATTGGCAACGGCCTTCTGGCCGTTGCCAATCCAAAAAGCAACCATAGTCAATTAATTTCAGAGTGGCCGCCAGTTGGCGGCCACTCTGAAACGCCTTGGCGGGCGCGTGTGTTACACGCGCCCGCCAGGCTGAAGGGTGAGACGCACCTGCGCGTCTCACCCTTCTTTTCTTATTTTTTTTTTTTTTAAAATTTCTGACAAATTTTTTGTTTTTGCAGGAGAAAAATGTGGTATGTTTTTTTGCTTCCCATTAGTTAACAAATTAAACATGGAGATTTTATTGTTCCAAAATGAGGAAAGATCCCCCTAATGGGGATGCCCTTAGTTAACAAATTAAACATGGAGATTTTATTGTTCCAAAATGAGGGAAGATCCCCTAATGGGGATGCCCTAATAAGAAGTCATATATGGCAGAGTGCAATGGGACCCACGCAGCGTTGTGCGTGTGGTTTGCGCACGGTCTCACACTCTCTTCCCGGGAGCCCCAACAAAAAAAAAAAAAAAAAAAAAATGCTACAGGCGGCAATGGGAGTTAGGTATAACGTCTCAATCCGCCACAGAGGCACCACAAATCTTTAATCTTTAATCAACTCAATTCTTCTAAACAATCGCAAAAACCCAAAACCCAATTTTTAAATTCCCAAAAAAATTGCGATTTGGACATGGGAGAGGCACCAACAACGCCTTCTTGCACAAAAAAAAACAAGACTGTGAGAGCCCACAAGCACCCATATATACTCCTCCACCTTCAATGTTGAAGCTTCCCCTTTGGTCTCTCTCGCCGTTGATGATAGGTGGTGGTGGTGGTGGCGCTG